ACTGAAAAGAAAAGAAACGAGAACATTTCTCTCTGAGGTCTTTTTTGAATCTTCACTATCAGAAAATGGATATCTATGGAGGAAGGACAGGGCATCTGGGCCAGGATAGGAGGAAGAGATGTGGAATAGTAGCCTGGGTGACGGAGGTATGTTATCACTATCAAAAAAGTCAAGATACTTCACTAAGTAAATATTTCTGTCGATAATTGTCCTATATACATAAAGGACTTCTGCTATGTCTTAGATACCTGTCATTGCCAAAGCTATTCACTTCACACGGAACTGAATATGAGACTGTGTAGAAGGTGGGTGTGATTTTAATGATGTTTTTAAAAATGCAGTTTTTAGTCATTTAACAAAAAAATGATGACATTATATGTTAAGTACTCCCACATCCAGTAAATCTTGATCTCTCTTTCAGCTTTACTGATAAAGTGCTCTGAAGAAATCTACAGTAACAAATTAGTGAAGCTACTAATTTTTTGACAACAGTAACAATTTTTGAATTAAATGATAGAAAACTTACAATTTTTTAATTAAATGATAGCAAACTTTTTTTATGATAAAACAAGACAGATGATTATTGTAAGAAATGATAGTTGTTATATCCCCATTACTGTCTAAAATGTAGTGGTTATGTTCCTTCAGTTGGTCATTACCCGTGGGTAACTAATGGAGAATATTGTTGGTCTGGGTAAACAACATGATATTGTTTATGATCACTGGTGCTGATAGAGGTCTGCATACTTCACAGGGCCAGCTAACCTGGTCAACCACTGGTCAACAGAGAAAAAAGGCTAATGACCCCACACTTTTCTTGTTTTTATCCCTCATTATAAGAGGCTAATAACCTGTGCTCTACTTGTTTTTGTCCGTTATTTTATGAGCATAAAACCCAGCATTGGTTCTGTTCACATGGTACAATTCAATCCTGAGCTAAATCAAAGATGTATTAAAAATCCAGCCTGTGTTCTGACACAGCAAAGAAATAATTGATTCACTGAAAAACTGTAGGCAAAGTCTACAGCAACAGGTAATGCAATCAATTTTCTGAATAGACCAAAGTACGGATTACACTGTTGTATTCAGACACGTAAGAAAGCACTCACGTGTGCTGGGAGATGTGATGCTCCAGGTTGTGGTTTGTGTGAACGCAGCCTATTTTCCTGCTGGCTGAGCAGTTGAGATTAAGCACTACAATGTGGTAGATGTTAACAGCGAAACATGGAAGATGTAGCAACAGGTGCTAAGAAAGGAAAGGTAACAAATTACTTGACCTTGAAATTATACTTTTATAATTGTGCTATTGCTGCAATTATAGGAAAACCTGCACTAAGGGAGTTCACACTTGTCCTTTCAGCATTTAAGTTTGGTATTATATCATAATTATAATTGGTGTATAGGCACCTGTAGAGGTGCTGTAGATATTGTGATTGGTGGACATGGTATTATTGGTGGATTATTATTTGATTGTTCACAGAGAGTTATAGGAGGTCTTAGTGGTTAAAGTTAAGAACTAAATAATCTAGTCATGATGATTGTTAAGATAGAGCAGGAACAGGGAGGAGACATCAGATATAGATGATAAGCGTATAGCCTTTTCATTTTGTTCTTCCTTGTTTTATTTATATGCTTATAGTTGAAATGTTCTAGCAGTCAGACATATCCAGTTATCAGACTGCTATCTGCTTATTTCAAAACATTTTCTTCATTTTACTCTTAGTACAGTTGGGTTGGCGTGGAAAGAGCATTGGTCTTGTGTGTGTTTTACTGCTTGACAAAAATAGTTTTAACAGCTTTCCCCACTGTTAAACGGTCTCTTCATGCCAGACTGACCTTTGTGGTGCAAGTATTTTACACTCCACCCCTCTCAAGTGCGGGGTTTTACAACATAGCAGAATATATCTGATAAAACGGGAGGATGCTTTTGCTTCTTCTATTTTACTTGATAAAAAAAGGTACCAATTATTGGAGCCTTCTCTCTGAAGCCAAGCGTGTAATGCGTACATTGTGCAACTGTTTTGTTACTGTCCCAAAATTGGTGCAAACAATTTTATTTATCAGATTGACATTGAAAAAGTCATTGAAAACTCATTGCACAAATTGTACAGCATAATAATTGGGTGAAAGTGTTACATTTACCAAATGCTCTTTCTCTAGGACAGCCTTTTCATTAAGAAACTCATGTTAAAAAAGGTGTGAAAAAAATCTTCATTTTGACAAAACTTCTTAGCAGGATCTAAAGGGAAATATAAAAAGTTGCATTAGGGTTGGTTAATGACCCTGCACAAAAGATAAGCCCATTTTTATCCCACCCATTTACGCTCCTCCAAACAAACTAGCGTGTTCAGAATGAGAAAAAATGCACTTGATACTTCAGCACCCTTGAACTTCTATAAGAACCTCTTTCCTTTCACACGCATCCCATGTAATAAACCATTTACTTACAAAGATTCATTATACCACAAAGCACTAGAAAGAGGAACTGAAGTTATATGTGTGTGTTCAACTTTTCTGGGTATATTATAAAACATAATTAGATTGGTGGTGTGACTTGCAGTGATGTTCCTAAGTTATAAAGTTGCGTGTTAACTTTTAAGTTCCCACAGTAATAGAGGCAGCACCAGGTTTAACAGTTAGCAGGTTTTGGGGAGGTAGGTTTATGTGTTGTTATGTGTATGCTGAGATGTGTTTATGGTGTTTACAAAAATTTATTATTTTTTGAACACCGAAAAAGCACCAGAAAAACAAATGGAAGCCATGGTTAAAATGTAAAGAGATCTGTTAATTTCTACTTAGCACCCTTGCATGTGGGCAGGTGGGTCTGTATCACAGTAAAACAATTAGACAGTGGGATCTAAATTCCTTTGGCTGATTGGAAATTTTAATTTATGCACAAGGTAAGACCAAGTATCATTACATATATTGTGTCATATCACTGTTGATGTATGTTCAGATATTTCTGAATATGCTGCTACACAGTTGGCGGAATAGAGAGATTACCAGCCTTCAGTGTGAGGAGCTTGAGCTGCAGGCAAACAAGACATTTTCAGACTACCAAGGCAGCGCCACTTCTCTGGCCTTCCCTTTTCCATTAGCAGATTATGCTGTTCTGTTAGGGCTTTTAGTGGTTATCCCACCCCAGGAAAGATAAACTAATAACAGCTCCAAACAGTCAGGGAATACAGCAACCATGTTGTTCACTAGCAAGAGTGAGTTGGCTGATGTTCAGAAATTGAAAAAAATTAGCTTATATTTGAAAGCAATGTGGAAAATTAAAGCACTCAGCTATCCACAATTTTTCTTTATATAATATATATAATGAAACCCATAGTCTTAAAACTCAATAGATGTGTCACCCTCAACCATCTGCCACAGGTAAATAAAATCATGTCCTTGACAATGCATATGCTCCAACCCCCCTCAAAGCCCCCCCACCCCCAACTAAGCACAGCAGTCTCCCTCAGTGTCAGAGATACTCCTGTCAATACTGTGTATATCAGACCCCATGTGAACAGACACAGCAGGTGCCCTGACTGGTATGTGAGGCATCCATGTTCCTGCCCCCAATTTATCCCTGTTGACCTTACTAATATGTATAAGTACCAGGACTGCAGCAGGAGGGGGGTGTACAATGTAGTCAGTGCTGCCCCAGTAGTTTACAGATGATGCAATCCAGGCACTAAACCTTTCATCATTAAGTGGTTTAGGAAGATAAGCCTGATTAAGTGTTACTTCAGATTACTCAGACCTGGGCTGTAATGTGGTCAGAACTACCTGACCGTCTGACCACAGATGACACGGGGAGGTGGCTCAGTGCAGTCTGTGTAGGTGCCAGGGCAGGGGTGAGGACAGGGTCAGGGTGTGGAAGACAGGGGGCACTGTAGAGGCTTACCACTGGGGTCTATAGATATGCTGTTCAAATATTTGGGAATTATACACATCTATTCAGAATTGTTTTATTAATGTTATTTGATATCTTTTTATGATGTAGATGATGGTTTATATTTTTTAGTGTATGTACATAACAAAAGTCAGTTATGTCAAATTGTGATAATATGTACTCAGACGGAAGTACATAACAGTTCTTATAAAGGATTTGTTATTGTTCTACCTGTAATTGAGATGGAATGTGGACATTTGATATCAGGGGTGACACTAAAATGTTTTCTTACACAACAAACCATTAGATTTAGAGTTAGTATCATTGCGACAACTGATACAATTGATGACCGTGACACAATAAGACAAAACTCATGCTTTCTTTATGTACAATGTTTCTTTTACTGCCAGACAAAAATATACACATTGCAGGTTTCCTAGACTTGAAAAATAAGCAAATCATTACAAGAAGTACAATTATCACAAGTACCTGTTTACCTCAGGTATTAAACTGTACTGGAGTAGATATTTAGTAGGCTTATATAATATAAAAGAAGTTTAAAATGCTCTATATCCCTCTCTCTCCACACACACATACATACATACGTACATACACGCATGTACACAGATGCACACACACACACACACACACACACACTAAATTCCTATCAGTGTCAGGTTATGTGCTACGCGCTCCTCCCCCTCCCCCCCTCCTCCCATCCCCACCCCCACCCCCAAGGGGGATATCAGTAGCAGAGTACAATGGAGGTTGACCACATGTAAGTATAACAGTGCCACTACACTATGATCTACAAATAAAGATAAACATCTCAGTCTGTAGACAAAGTGTTGTGACCACATATTATTCCAGTGATACCCTGTACTACAAAAGCTGACAGGTAGCACAGTAAGTTCAGTGAAAACTCTGACCACAAGGTTTTGTTATGAAGTGTCACATCGTGGAGGATAACAACAGAGTATTTGTTGAAGTTTTTGTACTACACAAACTCATCCAGACTATTGCATACACCTCAGGGCACCTGGTGCTGTGGTCTCTAGCTATGACCACTGTCCTTAACAGCCCACTGACCACTGGGCAGTTTGTTTGTTGAAAACAACCAGATGAACATGTTTTGATAGCAGTACTGTATACGTACCAATAAGCATCATGAATTATAGGGTGTGTATATTATATATCTACAGATATGAAAGCACCTGTTGGCTGGCTGGGACTGAATAAGTAGCAGTCACTCAAGAGAAAATGATAAAATACTGGGTAGAAGTCTGACAGGTGCTCTATGTACTGGAGGAGGAGGGGAAAGTCAGAGTTGATGTAGTACATATATTGTTAGGAGAGGGGAACTAGTGACAGGCCTGCAGTATATAAGGCGGGGGTTGCAGTAGGAAGGGAGACTTCTGTGGATAACACTCGAGAGCTTCACTGGGCACCCTATGGCAGAAGTTTATCATTTTAACAGTGTTCTGTAGTAGTTTTTTCTATATATTGTTATCAAAGCTTTTTCACAGTGCATTAGGACAGAGAACTTTAAGTGAAGAGTGGGGTGTGCTTGTCTCAGTTTTTACCCACTTTAATCTAAACGTAGGTGACATCAAGGACAAATCTGTATATGATATCTGAATAACAAGACTAACGCAGCAGTTTTTAAGTGGAAAATATCCTCAATAACACGTGATCAGGACACTTGAAAGAAGTAAAGTACATTTAGTGACAGACATAAAGGAGATTTCTCTGATATCAGGTGTGAAAATGGATTATAACAGGTGGCCAGACAAGAACCAGTTTTTGGAAGAGCTGCAGGTAATAGAATAAGAATTTCTTCAACTTGTTTCAGTTTTTATGTGCAGATGTTTTAACAAGTTTGATGATATGGAAGGTATGAGCAACCAACCCGTGTATTTACCTATATGTATCATTTTGCTACGTTTTTGTTATAACATTTTTTTAAAAATTGTAAATGCTTTATTGATAGCATGATTAACAATAGATTGTCCCTCTAGATTTGTGACTTTTTAAATCAAATTATCTTTGAGTTTCATTTCATTTTTTTCATTGTTTTTTTTTTCTGACACTGAATACATTAGCAATTGAATAAGGAACATTATGTGTATTAATGTTTATGCAAGTTGGCATCATTCTCAAACTTGTGTGTTTTTTTCTTCTGGTATAATGTCTTTTTAAATGGGAAAACTTCACTTGAAGTCTTTTTAATAGAGGCTTGTTAGAGCAAAGTTTTGCTTTTAATAGAGGTTTGTGAGAGCAAAGTCTTGTTTTGCACATAAAACTTAATGTCTACATTAATTTGATTACACAAAGCAACATTGAGCTTTGAAGTTGTTCTCAAAGGTAACAGAACTTGTGTCTAACGTGTGAAAACAGCTGCACTTGGAGGAAGTGATTTGTCAAAATAGGCGTAGCCTTGCTAGAAAAACATGAAATTAGACTTTTTAACATTCAAGCAACATTTATTACCACGGCAGTTTTTTGAAAGTTTTGTGAAGTCGGCAGTTCAGCAATAACAAACTCTTCGAAGATATTAAACCCAAACAAGTGCCATTTGACTTTAGACACATCAGTAAGAAAGTGTGTGGTAAGGCTGATATATTCATACACACAGAAATACCCCCAGGTTGTTTTCTTTCACTTAAATTTTGTATGAATAAAAAGGTGAAAAATGCGTCAGGACAGGCCTTCAATTAAATTAAGTTCAACAATGGTCAAATGACACCTTCATTTCTGTTTTTATCATAGAGGTGGAATAAATGATGAGATTTTCAAATAGAATTATTGAAGTACCTTGACTTGTGGTGATCGCCTGTGGCTATGCAATGCAATACAAGAGGCCAAGCATTTAAAAACACTCTTTGTATATATTATCATAAAGATAGCATAAAGTTAAACCCGACACTTGTTGTTAAGGTTCTTAAGTTAAATCATGCTGGATTAAGCGGCTGAAATCTGACGGTGGCGTTGTCCTGACGTGGCCACACAGTCTGTTCACTTTGCCCATCACAATCACTCGGCTGTCACCAATATTTTGTCAAAAGTCATTCAGCATTTTACGCTCATTGAATGTCACAGTCACTGAACCGTCACTCTTACTAAATGCCAGAGTTTAGTGAGTTGACTTATGGATTGAAAAGGTTTAAAGGATTTATCCTAACCTCTTAAGGTGAGTCACACTTTTTTCCATCAGATAAAGAGAAAAAGATTTTACACAGGTCTTATTTTTATCAGTAAGCTTCTTTAGTCTGCCAGGATCATGAAAGCCTACTGAAATGTCAGAATCATATAATGGACTTTAAAATTTAAGGTTCATCAATACCTCAGTCTGAGTGGCCAGAGTTATTATTTCTTTGTTAATATGAATGTATGTTTTCAAATATTTTTCAGAGACTTAGTGTAGGTATGATTTTTGAAGTGTCTCTTATTGTATATTACAAATGAGCAAGTTGACTTTAGAAACGCCTAGAGATTTAATCTGGTCTCTTAAGGTGAAACTCCCTATTGTCACTGGAATGAAAAGAAGTAGTGCAACGACCAGGTGTGTTGACTTCTTGGTAGGAAATAACCAGAACCCATTTTCTCAAGATACAAGATTTTTTCTTCTAATAAACTAAACTTGTGGTATGAAGAGAGACAGAACATAGCATGTAAAGTGGATCCTGTATTTCATTGTATTACAATCACTGAATTACCTGTAGCTTATGAATTTAACAATATTTGTCACAACCTCTTACTCCAGTGATGGGGTATTATTAGCAACTGGAGTGAGGATAAAACCAGAAACTTTGCTCTGGGGATTAAATACTTTCTAAGATTATAAAGATTGATCAATTTTTAGTTCAGTCTCACAGAGTGGGGAGTGTTGTATAAAAGAGCAAGCAGCTGTGATTTGGTTCTCCAGCAGACTACATCGCCATTAGTCAAGTAATAAGTCTGCATGAGAAACACATTGTTACCTTGACAAATCTGAGACACAAAATTGTCAGCGCTTTCAATAGAGGACATGTACAGGTCAACGGCATGCTGAGACCCAGGGTTTACGTAGTTGAATGCTTGAGTTTAGGCTTAAGTCAAGAGGCTTGACCCCATGACACCAGACTTTGTCAACTAAAGTTACTGCGCTATTGCCTGTAGCCTGACTGGAGTTAGATATAAGGACAAAATTGCTGAATCAAAAGATTATTCTGTGTACAATGGGTCAGAAAGGTGCTTCTCAGAGCAGAGGGTGACATCTTACTGAAGGCCTTAAAATGGCTGGTTATATTTTTGTATTGTGCAATAAGAGAATGAAGGACTTGTGAACTGCAGTATAGGGGCAATATTTCAGTGAGTACACAGCCACTGGAGGGTAATTTCCACTGTTCAAAGGTAACCAATCAATGAAGAAGGTGATTTTAAAGAGAAAAAAGTTTGAGACTTTTTTCAGTGTGTGTGTCAATATAATTGGTTCTAACACCTTCTGATAGATTTAACTAAGTTCCTTTACAGCACACATCAGACTGAATTAGCTCTTTTATCAGAGTGAATATTACTTCAGACAGGCTTCACATAATTATGTAGATCTATCCAGTTGAGCAGACTTTATTTCATCATAAAAAAAGAATGTTATTGGTCACAGTATTCAACCAGCAGTAGTGAAACTACATAATGTTAAGTTGCTTTCTAAGTTTATCTTTAAATTTTCTGTGAAGTAAAAAGGCTGAAGTTGATAAAACTTGTAAATCACATTTCATTGTTTAGACTACATGTTGTGAACTGTGGTATGAGAGAAGAGATCTTCAGCTGTCCATGAGATGCATTGTGATTTTGATAGATGTGCATAACATCCTGATTGTGTTTGGATGTGTACCATGGATTGCTATGAATGGGTAACCATATAAAAGCATGTAAGGGAATGACAAAAGCATATATTGCAACATTTATTTTTTTCACTGAACAGTTCAATAGGATTTAAGTATAGTAAATCCATTATTAGAACCAGTTATCTTTATTTCAGATGTTAACATGTTATCCAGACAGATGTTACTTCACACAGTTTATCATTACTGGTCATGTAGAAAGCCAGCGTAAATCCACTCCATGAGCTCAGTATTGTTATCTTAATATTTGGTTGTATTCACATCAGGGATGTCTTAGAAGAAGAATAGACTTATTGACATCATCAGGTGACCAGATTACGCAGTGTTTGCCCTGCAACTAGTCCAGATCAACTGGTCAATCAACTGGCCATCAGTTGGTGCCAACCAATTCAGTTTCAGTCCAGTGTAAACAGGACACATCTGTACCAGTGCCACCATAGCAACATTACCAAATCATGAAAACTTAATTTTGTGTTTTATCTTTCCAGGTCGTCATGGCAACAGTTAACTCCACCAGGATGGCCAGCAACATTAATGTGGTCAAACAAATCCACAAGCAGTTTCTAAGCTGTGGTATCTGTCTACAGCAGTACACCAACCCCAAGGTACTGCCTTGTCTACACACCTTCTGTGAACTCTGTCTCTACGATTACATTCCCTTGGAAAGTCTCTCTGTCAGCTGTCCTCTGTGCAGGCAGCAGTCAATATTACCCCAGGAAGGGGTGTCAGGACTACAGTCAAATTTCCTTATTAATAACCTGATGGAGATGCTGGAGAACCCTCAGTTGTGCACCAGCTGTGACAGTGGTGCTGTGGCCAAGACAAAGTGCACAAACTGTAACCACTCACTCTGTGAATCCTGCTCACAGCTACACAAACAAGATGTTGACTTACAGACACATGATCTAGTCAGCCTGGATAAATTATCACCTTCTGAGTCTAAAGAAGGAATGCTGCCCCAGCTTGTGTGTCCCAACCATCAGGGAGAGTTGTTAAAGTTTTACTGTGCCTCCTGTGATACCGCAGTATGTGAGGAGTGCACAGCGCTGGAGCATCACGACCACCGAATTACGACAATGGAAGACGCCATACAGGAACACCAATCAGCTCTCAGGAATTTGATCCACAATGCTCAGGCCCGTATCCCTGTGATCGAAGACGCCATTACTGTGGTCAGTAGTGTGTCCACTGCGCTCTGTGATAAGTTCAAGGAGGCAGAGATGCAGATAAGTGATGCCTTCGATGCACTTAATGAACTCATCGATCAGCGAAGAAACAAGTTGCTCTCAGACCTGGAGTCCACACACAAAGTAAAGCAAGCTACCCTACATTCACAGAAGCAAACTCTCCTGGACATTCTGACTAATATCAATGACTGCTGTCAGTTGACAGAAAAAGCTCTCACTCATGGCAGTGAGACAGATATCTTGCTTATGAGGAAAGAGATGACAGCTAAACTTAGCGATCTCTCTGCTCTAGAGGTGCAGTGTATGCCTGAGGAGAATCCATCTCTCAGCTTTGTCGATTGCAATTTCTCAGATGTTGCTGAAGTAGTGGAGAAAGTTGGCAAAGTGGAAACCAACAGCGCGGTGGCGTTTGAGACCACAGCATCTGGAGAAGGTCTGCGCAGGTGTTACACAGGGAAGAAAGCCATGTTGTCTGTCACCACTAAGAACCGCCATGGAGAACTGCTCAAGGTCGGCCACTGTTCACTCACTGCACAGATCACATCAACAAATGGTGAAGTCTTCACTCCTACTGTCATAGACCAGAACAACGGTACCTATGACCTCACGTATATTGTGCCGAGTGATGGCTCCTATCAGCTGGAGATCAGGTTGTATGGTCAACAAATCAAGGGATCTCCCTTCAGTGTCCAGGCCTACCCACCCCCAGCCAGTGGTGAGAGACCCCTCAGTGCAAGCAAGATTCCCAAGACGCTAGCCGTCAAGCAGAAGGGAACCAAGCGGCCACCCAGCTCAAAGTCGTCAAATAGGAGAAGTAACCCCATTGATGATGACTTGATATTGAGAGTTGGCGCCAAGGGGAGGAACCGAGGGGAGTTCAGCAATCCCCAAGGCCTGTGCACCACTCCCAAAGGTTTGATCATCGTGGCTGACAGCAACAATCAGTACATGCAGGTTTTCACTAACTCGGGGGATTTCAAGATGAAGTTTGGTGTTCGAGGTCGCAGCCCGGGGCAGGTACAGCGCCCCACGGGAGTGGCAGTCAGCGCCAACGGCAACTACTTAGTGGCAGACTACGACAACAAATGGGTCAGCATATACTCTCCTGATGGCAAATACCTCAACAAGATCGGAACAGGAAAGCTTATTGGGCCCAAGGGTGTCGCAGTGGACAACAATGGTCACATCATTGTTGTGGACAACAAAGGAAGCAGCATTTACATTTTCCAGTCTAATGGGAAACTCCTCCACAAGTTTGGTACCAGAGGTAACGAGGAGAACCAGTTTGCTGGACCACATTACGTAGCAGTCAACAGCAACAATGACATCATCATCTCTGACTTCCACAACCACTGTATCAAGGTGTTCAACTGTGAGGGAACATTCCTGTTCAGTTTTGGCTCCAATGGTGAGGGCATGGGTCAGTTTAATGCTCCCACAGGGGTGGCTGTGGACAAACAGGGGAACATCATTGTGGCTGACTGGGGGAACTCCAGGTTACAGGTGGGGACAGCTTTGTGTTTTGTTTTGTCATTTTCATTTAGTTAATTATCCCAGTTTAAATACTCCTACCTTGTATTTTGAAAACATTGATTTTCGTAACTGAAAATTGTTTCATTTGTTTTCTTTTAATTTAATCTCATTAAGTCACTGAAAATTGTTTCATTTGTTTTCTTTTAATTTAATTTAATCACATTTAATTTTTATTGGAAAAGTAAAGTGATTCATAAATCATTGCCTTTTTACCAGTAAAAACTTTAAATCTTAAAAATATTAATACATCTTATTGTGAGAACTGTTGGTGTTTATGAATATCAGTACCATGCTCACACTTTGTCCAGTTTTTCTGAGATATATCATCTTACTTCCCAGGTATTTGACCAGAATGGTTCCTTCCTGGCCTTTGTGAACACTCAGACGGACCCCCTGTACGGTCCCCAGGGGGTGGCAGTGACCAGTGACGGACATGTGGTGGTCTCTGACTCTGGCAACCATTGCTTCAAGATCTACAAATATCTCCAGTAGAAATCTTGGTTTCCCTGCTCAGAGGACATCCTGGTTGGCTGGGAATAATAGACTGTCAGCCTCACCCAACTGACCAGTGGACTGACCTACTGACTGATATCCTTACAAAATTCTTCCAAATATTTGTAAAAATCAGGGATTTGCTGTTCCATGTTGACCACTGCTAGGTATCCACACCTGCCTATAGATGGCGTTACTGGGACATTCAATATAGAAACGCACCTCAGTAGAGATGAACATCAGAGCACTACTTGCTATCCCAGCAGCCAATGCATTAAGGCCCGTAGCATGATCAAGTGTTTTGTGAAATCCATCATAGTTTTTCTGCAGAGACTGACAATTATCAAGTGCCATGAAAGGATCTACAGAGTGGCCCTGCTATGTTAAAATCCAGGGGAGGGAGAGGGAGAGAGGGGGGTATACACCTGCTATCAAAGTGCACAGAAGACTGCAAAACAGTGCCCATGTTTTGATTTTTTTTTTTTTTTTTTTTTCATTTTATTTATGGATATTTTGTAATATTTGCTCATTTTTTCTGTAAATGTATAGTAAAGGGGTAACTGAAAAACATTAAAATACATGAAGTAGGCTATTAAGGAGGAACCTTTGTACATTAATAAGATGTGGGTGTAATCACAAAGGCACAGAAAAGTTCTAAATGGGTGTATTTCTAGTCTCAAGTTGATTTGGATTAGCCCAACTTTCAAAGTGGGGACACAGAGCAAGTGCAAATGTATCGTGTTTTCTAGTCTATGGTGTAAATTAAGCGTTTTGGTGTGTGTATTAAGACGGTACATGTTGACAGCATTACAGATGTACTTGTATATATCAGCTATATGATCAATACTGCAGATGTGATAGTAGGTAACTAGTGACAGTGTTAATGTAAAGCCATGTTGCTTGCATGTATAAAAGAGACAATGTAGCACCTGTTGTCAGGTAAATTAATAGACAATTTATAAGTGTTGACTGTATGCCATAGAGATAACCAAGCCAGTCTGAAGACTGTGAGAGCTGTGGTTGCTCATGCCTGGTTCATTTTACTGCATGTAGCTGCTGTCTCATTAGTTATGTTTAGTTATTTATTAATGATACCTTCATTCATGTATCTATTTGATCTTTAAATATGAACACTTTGCTCTTAGTTTGCTTGCCAATAAGAAGTCCCTCTTGTGCAGTAGGTAGATAGAACGGATTCCAGGAAAACCAGAACAACTTATACCTCCACCCTAAAGCCATATTCTCTGTGGTAAATGTTATTTCAGGATGACTGCTTCACACACTAGCAGCGCCAGGATTTCAAAATTGAGATATGGATAAGTTTATTCCACACATTTTATGTATATCTTTTGCATCCAATTTGAAGAAAAAAAAAAAGAATTTACCTGGGACCACTGTGCATTATAGTTTCAATTCCATATTCCATGTTATATGTAAGAGTTTACTGTGCTACATGGAATCAGTCAGATATGTGTCAGAATTCAATTTCGTATTCCTAGGAGAGGTATTTCACTGTCAGAAATGTGTTTAGATCATTCATTGTGGCAGTCTTAGTAAACTTTTCATATCATTAACCGATGATCCGTGTATTGTAATTGTGCAGATTGTAGAGCTTAGTAATGTAAATATGTAAAATATTCTGGAGAAATCTTCTCTATTGCATACTGAATGGCTAGGATCAAATTATTGTACAGTGTCATGGTCCTTGGTGTATTTTTGTTTATAGTGTAAATATGTTATTTTTGTCAAAGGGCAGTGCGGTCAATGCAAATATAATGTATAAATGTGAGGATACAGTTAAAATATGTGTGCTGACAGTTACATGTAGTAATTGCTGTGGTGCTTCCTAGGACGTGTAAAGTTAGGGGCCTAGTTACAGAATGCTTGCACTTGACTTAAACTTTTTATTTTGTTAACTAATTTCTGTAAGAATGTGCAGAATTCAGAAGCTAGGCTTTCCATAGTAATAACTGGATAACCTTCAGTTCACTCTAGCACCCCACTCTGTTCTCCTGCACTCTACTGGGATGGAGTAAAATAACAGTTTAGAATATAAATGCCACTTGTCCTAACTAACATGTACATATTTCCAATCCAAACTAAACTGGTAATTTATACTTAATAAGTACCTTTAGACTTAGGACAGTGAAACTTAAAAACATGTTTACTTACCAAGTTGTGAAAGGAAGAACATAGACGCTTTTGGTGTACAAAAGATTTACTTGATATTCTCAATTTTACAATCATAAGACGCCTTTTCTTGATTAGGAAAGAGCACATCATGTGTCTGGAAAGACCACGAAGAAAAAGAAATTAGTTACTTTTGGTTGTCACCTGCCGATAATTATTATTGTAATGTTTATTGTTGTTTTCAGTTAATGTGAGGTATACGTGTTTTTGGTTATTTTGTGACTAATGCCGAATGCAATTTGTGGAACATCAGGTCACGTGCAAAGAAATTCCATGACATTTTTTTCTCTTTTTTAGTTTAAGATGTATTTTGTCATTTGCTTCATAAAAGTCAAATAAACTACTCAACCTGTGACAGTACTTTCATTTTACTCTATCAACACCTCACCAATAAATGAACAAATTCACAAAGAACGAATAATCATGTCAAGGAAAAAAGCAATTCCAGATTTTGGAATCCCGGTCCGCTTACCTCTCTATGCTGTGTCTTAGTCTTAAAACGAAGGGAAACTACAACCAGAATATGTGACTCTCACGACTTCCAAAGTTTTAAAAATGTGTCAGTTATTTCTGCAATTTTAAGCGCTTATTGTCCCTAAAAACGAATGCTACAGTTGTACATGCGCGTGTCGTGCAAATAAAAAAAAACGCGTGGGAAGAATGAGTGCAAAATTCAGGTTTTTATTTCATTTTATTTCGTAAATCTATATCGGTGCTGTGAGTTTTGCTGTCAACGTTTTTCTCAACACGTTCTATTTAAGTTGTTCACAAAAACTCTAGATATACATGTAGTTCCCGAGAGTAAGGGGCAGGTTAACGGTACACATGTACCTATCTATGGACGATTAATAAATATATTTCTACATTAAGGTCCATGTATACTGGCATCTCGTGCCATTCAAGGACAAGTTACATCGGGAGTGAGAAAATATCGTGTTACCTGTCAATAAAGTGCAGGTGTACCCCTCACGTCCCGCGTCTGTCGAGGACACGAGTCACCGTCAGGTAGAACATGTCCTTGATGATCTAGTTTGTATCTTTTGCGTTCCGAAAATTAAATCATTTATTTTTATTCGTTTATCTATTTATTCTTCGTGGTGAAAAAATGCCTTGATGTTTTTGTGCGTCTCCCTCAGTGGTTACTAACGGCGTTAGTGTATTTTAGCTGTTTAGAGCGAAAATAGCCTTTTTTTTTTTTTTTTTTTTTTTTTGCTTTGGGCGATTTTAATCTTTTTGATGTTAAAAGAGAAATAATGAGCGGGTAAAATCTGTTTTTGTTTTCTGTTTGAATTTTTATGGTTGTCATGGTGGATTATCTGTCATCTCGCACACTAGTGTTGGTCTGATGTCACGTGACACGACGGCGACACTGTATATGTAACATTTATATAAGTAAACGGAAATAAATTTTTGTTATTTGCTCCTCACATTTGCAGAACATGTTTTCAATAGTAAAACAGGTAAACAGTTGGACACTGTACTTAATCCCCGTCTTTAATTAGCCTTTTGGGAAGTTTGTTTTAATTTTTTATGAAAACTTATAAGCCCAGGGCTTTGTTTCTATGACTTTGGTCCTTTTACTATCAGTCACCTTAAAACAATCACGTTTTCAGTGGCGTTACTAATCAAATTGAATAAGCAATAAATAGATCTAGTGGTAAGAAACCTGGTTTACTGTAAGATAAAGGTGAGACGCGCAGCTGAGGTATCAGACGCTCCTTATCTCAGGTTGGAGTATTATGTGAAGCAGTTCACGGTCTACCCGAGTAGTGTAGTGGTGTCACATACCAAGTCGCCGTCATGAAGTTTCCCATCTTCTGCGTGAATAGTGCCCTTCAAGTCGAATGTTTCTACAAATTCAAGCGTTTATTGCCATTGAAAATTAATACTGTTTGATTAAAATATGCGCAAAGATAATTCAGGGTTTTATTCATTTTATATCGCAACAAGAAGAGTCTATATTGGTGCTTTCAGTTAAAGGGTTTGTTGGCAACGTTGTATAAAAGTTGTTCACAGTGTCAATATAGTGCCAATAGACAAGGGAAAGGTGAGCTGCGCACATGTAACTACAGGATGTACATATATCTGTGGACGATTAATAAATATATTTACACATTAAGGTACATGTATACTGGCATGTCGTTCGGTTCAAGGACAGGTAACACCATGAGTGAGAAAATGTCGTGTCACCTGTCTTCAAAGTTTAGGTGTACAATGTAGGCCCTACACGTCACGTCCCGCGTCGGTCAAGGACACCAGTCACCGTCAGGTAGAACATCCCCTTGTTGATCTAGTTTGTATCTTTTGCCATCTGAACGTTTAATTAATTATTTTAATTCGTTTATTTATTTATTGTCAGGAGTGAGAAAAGGTCTTGATGTTTTTGTGTGTCTCTCTAAGTGGTTAGCGACTGTGTAAGCGTATTTTAACTTTTTAAAGCGAAAATAGTCATTTTTTTTATTGCTTTGAGCGATTTTAATCTTTTTGATGTTAAAAGAGAAATAATGAGCGGGTAAAATCTGTTTTTGTTTTCTGTTTGAATTTTTATGGTTGTCATGGTGGATTATCTGTCATCTCGCACACTAGTGTTGGTCTGATGTCACGTGACACGACGGCGCCACTTTATATGTAACATTTATATAAATAAACGGAAATAAATTTTTGTTATTTGCTCCTCACATTTGCAGAAAATGTTTCCAATAGTAAAACAGGCTAACAGTTTAAAACTATCACGTTTTCAGTGTCGTTACTAATCAAATCGAATAAGCAATAAATAGATCTAGTGGTAAGAAACCTGGTTTACTGTAAGATAAAGGTGAGACGCGCAGCTGAGGTATCAGACGCTCCTTATCTCAGGTTGGAGTATTATGTGAAGCAGTTCACGGTCTACCCGAGTAGTGTAGTGGTGTCACATACCAAGTCGCCGTCATGAAGTTTCCTATCTTCTGCGTGGGCTTCTTGCTAGTTTTGAGCAAAGTAAGTTTTTTCTGTTAAATGTTGTTTATTCTTAACATAATATGGACATCACATTCGTCTTATTAGATCATAGTAAATGTGACGGATTTGTTAACTTTTGAGCCGTATATATTGTACGTGTAAGACCAAGCATTAGTTAAAACTTTAAGTTAAAAACGTTCAAAACAATCACCAACCTTATATTCTGGAGGAAATATTCTCAGGTCGCCGACGGTCGCCCCCCTTCCCTGTACAGCCAGCGTACGGAGAGAGCCTCTGGAGGTAGCTATATATAGTATACAGAATACAGAGGGGTGACACACGTGGTCCACCATTTTGCTTTAAAGTGAACAACCGCTGGATGTGTTAGGTTTTGTAATTAGTATTTTGTTGAAAACTGGTTATGTCAAGTTAGTGTCTTTACTACAGGTTTATAGACCAGTGATTTGTCCTAGCATGAAAATTTGTCACTGGCAATTAACCGCGAATCACTTTTTACGAACGGGTCACCCAGTTCACATAGCGCACTATTCACACAGGTTGTGCAATGCATTTGTCACCCCTCTGTACTTGTTGATTGATGTTTTAACTTGCTGTACGTTTGGAGTTCAAGGAGTAGGCATAATTGAAAAGACCTAATTAAAAAAAATGCAATTTTTGTCAAAATTTCTTTTCCAAAAATGAATAAAACAGATGGTCACAGGTGTAAGGAAGTCGATATTGCAGGCCTATTTTCCTGCAAGATAAGTAAGAGTTTTTTTGTATGTGTGTCTGTCTGCTTTTTGAGACGTGTATTTTATTCAGTTTTATATACAGTACTTTATATTCTGAGCACCTATGTTCTGTTGTGAAAGTTGTCAAAGCCGAACTAAAAGAGTGGTTCTTTTATCCCTCTGGACCTTCTTCTTTATAAAGCGTTCCCGAAGATACATTACGGGTGAGAAATTGGTGTCAACGCATAAGTCTTTCTGAAGACTAGATTACATTTGGCACGGACGCTACACGATGAAATCGTATATGATTTTCTGCGCGTGTCATGCATTTAAGCTGGTTGCACTTAGCGGGAGTCCCCTCAGAGTTGGATCGATCCATGAAGTTTATGGGAATGGGGCCCAAAAATTCAAATCCCTGAATTGAGTAGTGTACAGTGAACGACGCTCGCCTCCATGGCCGCATGCACAACCCAAGTTGATCCGTGGACTAACAGATCCGCGAGTCAAATATGGCCGACCCACTTAAAAGATTACCACGTAATCCCGCAGGGAATCTATTCACTGTCTATTAAGGGATTATGTGCCCAGCTTTCGAATGGGTGGGCCGTATTTGATCCGCGGATCTGTTAGTCCTCGGATCAAATTGCTCTGAAGGCGCCCTATGACTGGCATACACCACCGTAAACGTTACTGAGACTGTCAAAAGACACATTCCGAGTGTAGAACAAATTGGTATTTCAGGTATCCCCGGGTATCTTGGTTGTTATGAAGACAAAGGCGACGATGACACGATATTTGAAGAAGACTCAGAGTGGGAGGACGAGAAAATGACCGTTACAAAGTAGGTGTGCGTGCGCGCGCCTGTGTGTGTGCATTTTATTATTATTATTTTGTCATCATTTTGAGCGAAAAGAAAATATGGTTTTAAATTTAAATTGTTAAATTTGAATTATTGTCCATATGCATCAGTAAATTATCCATAAGAAATGTTTTACATCACAGATGTAATCACCTCATAGATGTTGAATGATTACGCTGAAACCAAACAATTAAAGTAAATAACAAAAAGTAACAATATCCTCATGTATCCAGCGGGGCTACAAAATATATACTTACATTCATACATATAGATCAGATCAACATCTTTAACAGATAAAAACTCATAGGACATGAGACCAAACCATCTGTTACATACCCCATTGTACGTACAGTGACCAGTGCGTCTATTGCCTTTAACGTTTATCTTCTTTTACCCACGTGACACCCGGTTCATCCACTTTTGCCAAACGGTAAGAAGCCCCACTTTCAGGTGGTTTCAGACACAACGCTCTCTATTAGTATAAGAATATCCCAACACGTTTACCTGAATTTCAGCGACGCCAATCAAGGGCCAGGCAACCACACCACAATAGTATACATGTCTATATACGGTACAATAAATTACGGAAAACCAAATGCGCACTTGTGATTGGTGCTGCGAACTTTATTCACACATCCCGCTAGTGCTGAAATAAGACTAAGGACAGTTACTAATATCAACATCATTAATATTTATACCCCATCAGGTGCATTCAGTATTGTCAGAAGGAAGGTTATGTCCTCGCAGCACTGAAGGACGGAGACACGTGCTACTGTGGCCGAGCCGAGGTCAACTACAAGAAATACGGTACCAAGAAATGTAAAACCAAATGCGCAGGAGACGATGCGCAGATCTGTGGAGAGGAAGATGAGGTGTCAGTTTATAACGGTGAGTGGGGCGACGTCATTCGGAAAGGCAACCTACACTACTCCCTGCACTTGCATTTTGTTACGGTATCATACGCGTACGGTACCTTATGCTTTCCGTCAACTGATTATTGGATTTTCCTAGTGAAGGCAGTGAAGAATAACAAATAGATTTATCAATTGTTTTTTGGGTTGTACTGTAAAGCAATTTCTTACAGACTATCAGTTTACGTTTGGATATCAAAGATATACATTTAGGATTCTTAGAACTTCTAGGGACCTGAAGAAACCATTCTTCTACAGTGATGAAGTTTCTTGCATATATAAAAACTAGTTTAAGTTTCACCTTTTATTTTATCGCGTTAATTGTTTACAGTGTCAGCAACAGTGGCGACCTCTGGCGCACTTGCAGGTACGTTTATATGTTCATGGGTTTTTTTCAAAAAGATTATTTGTATCATAAATGACATTTTAAATAATAACCAGATTTTGGCTGTAAAAGAACATTAATCCCGCGGAAAGTTCAGAATGCCGGCGGCCTAAATGAAGACTTAAACTATCAAAAATAGAGCATACAAAGTTAAAGTGCAGCCACGACTTAACAAAGAAAAGCGATAATTTTCATCTCAATGTACATAGAAATAATGGGCACATGGAGTTTCTGAGGGTTTTTTTTTTAATTCAGCTTCCCGTTTTTATTTAGGAATTAAGTTGCAATTTAAATTTTACTCGATTTGAATGCATTGCATTTAGTTTTGACGATATTCCATCGTATTGTTTTTAAACAAATACTGAAAATTTAAGGCTGCCGAAGCACGCTTTGCCATTTTTTTTACTTTCAACTAAACTTTGAAATATAGAGAGTTTATAAGTGAGTAAAGAGAGTTTCTAAGTGAGTAAAGAAATTATTATTATTATTATTATTATTATCACAAAGAGTGTCCCAAGATCCCTTCCATACCAAACGGCGAGATCAAGCAGGGTATGGTTCTGGCTGACGGCGCCATGATAACGTTCAGGTGTAATGACGGCCACAGGCTGTGTGGGCCCAGGACACTCACCTGTGTCACCCCTCCCATGGGGAAGCCTGTCTGGGACCAAGCCTTACCTACATGTGAACGTATGTACTTCCTTGATGGAGTGGTCATCTGCATTTTATCACATTCTTTTTGTATGAATCAATTGACGTGATGTGGTTTCTTGAAAATGAAAATACGTTTATATGAAATGTTCATAGATAACGAACATTCCTTTCTATGTGAAAAAGGGAAAAACTGATGGTAAAGGGATTATATTTTTACAATTCTATCACACACAAATTAAGTTCAGCCAAATAACCATTACAGAATGATAGGATAATGTACAGTTTGTATTTTCCGATATGTATGTATTACTAAGAGTTGGAGGGGGGAGGGCTTGCAAAATCACATTTCAGTTAAACAAATACAACAAAATATTTTTTATAAAAAGCAGACAGTTTCTTACCCTGATAAAATAAAGGACATCACTTAAGATTAAAATATTCAATTTCAAAATTTCCCCTCCAGGAATTCCCGGCTATGTTGGCTGTTTTGACAATGAGGACACTGAGCCGTTCTTGTTTGATCTGAACACTGAGTGGAGTGATGACGCCATGACAGTGGAGAAATGTATCTCAAGGTGTTCCACAGAAGGTTTCAGCTTTGCAGGTACACCAACAAATTTCATTCTTTAACAGCACTTTCAAGACAGGTTTTATTTATATACATCTTGTGCCCATTGCAAGAATTAGACGAGGAAACCATAGTGGTGTAGATATTCTTCATTTTGGAATTATTTTGAAAATGTATATAGGCCTAAACATGAATGACGGTAATTAGTATATTTTGGCTCCATTTTTGAGTAAAGATGAGATAATCAAAAATACCAGCACAGTTGCTAGTTGGGATTCGATAAAAAAAACTGTCTACGCATCCCTTTGCAGCTGTTTTTCGAGAAAATGAAATCTATTCATTTTTATTCAAGTTAAAAAATGACAAATGTTTCTGTAGGTCTTATGGACGGAGACGAGTGTTACTGCGCCAAGACCGGTCTCAATTTCACGGCATATGGTCGTAAGCGGTGTGAGGACAGGTGTGAGGGAGACGCTACCCAGGTGTGTGGAGAGGACGACGACCAGGTGTCCGTTTATGACGGTATGTTGGTTTTCAATTTTCCAGGTGTAATATCCCTATTTTAATACTTAAAACTATCAATAATATATTGCAGTTTTTCGATAGGTTATGAATTTGAAATATTTATCATGTATAGTCATCAAAATGCCAAGACAATGAAATAAGCTTTGGATAATTAAGTCAGATTTTCTTACATGAACCTCATAAAATTTAGTCCTGTGAACTCCGTAGTCAGTTAATCAACATCACATCAAGACAAAAACGCAGGTTGACAGGAATATAGTACTTTAGTACGTACATATGTACAGTTCATGTGCAAGATCAGATAACATATTTTATGGTAATGGTAAGTCTTATGTTTTCTTTGACCATGCACTGGTTTACGAGCGTTTTACATCATAATTGCACAATTATAACTTGAATTTCTTCTGATTGTTATATTGTAGTGGTTTGGTACAACATGGTGTCCAATGCTGGTAACGGAACGGTCCCTGTCATTGGTTGATAATGAAACGGAACCCCTCATTGGTTGATAATGAAACGGAACCCCTCATTGGTTGATAATGAAACGGAACTCCTCATTGGTTGATAACGCAGAAATAACCACCATAGCTGTAGTAGTAACGTAGTAACTAATTGATGTTGGAATTCCAAATGACGCATGGTTTTTCTGGTTGTTATTTTGTAACGAAGCAAAAATTAGGCACTAATGTGAATAAAATGAAAAAAAAATGCTTTTCATTGCATTTGTTTTCCTTCTTTGCCAGTTATGACAAATGTGGAAGAAATTTGATATAAGCAGTGCAAGAAGGGATGTCCATCGGACAGAAATGCGGCAATATGTTACCCGTGCTAAAACAACGATTGCGATTACAAATACTAGATATGAAATTCATAAAATGAGACCGGTCTTCACTGGTGTACACAGGTTATCAATAAAAGTTGGAAAAACTTCTGTTGCCGGTGTAACGAAACTGAGGGTCCGTGTAACAGAAAGTCCACCCTCCATATAGTTATAATGGTAAGGGTTAGTCTGATCTAAGTGGGTCAAAATCTAGGGCGAGGCTCACCTGTACAAATGAATGGGAAGCAGACTCTCTGTTATGGGGGATTCTCTGTCACGTTACACCGGCTTTTGTTTCCACCCCCACCCCCCTCCCACCGCCGCCGATAATACATGTACTAGAGGTATATGAAATATAGTTCTGTGGACCTCAGAATATTTCCCCTCTTCAGGTAGTGAGTGTTTCACTAAGACAAAGAACATGCCACCCTTTGAATATGATTACAGTTTTCTTATTTATCCAGAACGAAATTATACATTTCAATAATCCGTGAGTTAGGTTTACGATGCTGGCATCATAGCAAGAAGAGAAATAAAAAACGACACATTTCAAATCAATAACTCTTACAAAACCTTTTATTCAGTCGGATACCTTGCTTACAGCCCAGTTTCTGTCAATTCTCAAACCATACTACTGATACCAATGACCTATCATATCATTTATGTCTAGCTTATGGCATCCCTGTCTAACCAATCAGGGAACCCATTCCCAGATCAATGATTTCTCCGGATCCCTCACCGGATCCAGGCTCCTCCGTGCTAGAAATGAGAGAGGGAGTTGGCGCTTTGGGGGTTGGGGTGGCTTTAGCTGTTGTTTGCTTCATTGGTTCTGGAGTTGGCTTCTCGGTTGTGGGTGCTGGTGTTGTTGGGGCAATAGTTGTTACCTTCACATTCACTGCAAATATTTAGATACAGATTATAAATTAGTAACAAAGCGCTATATGGATTTTGGACAAAAAGAGTTGTGCTTGAGTAGCAAATGTGTGCCACAGCTTGTGAACCGTTTACAGTAGTTTCTGTTAATGTTGTTTCGAAATAACAAAATATACTAGTCCGGGTTTGGTTCCCTGTTTTGATTCTTTAAAAGAAGCAATCCTTCTGCGCTTTTCTTTAAAGACCTTTAATGTTATGGTATACCATTAGTTATAACTTACGCTGGTAGATGGAGAGTTTCTTGTAGTCTCCGCAGATCTGGGTGCTGTTGCCCTTGCATTTGTCGTTGCAGACTGAGGCAGCCCCGGCGTCATACAGAAGCTCGTTATTACCACAGTGGCAGATGTTGCCGTACTCCAGAGCTGACATTACAAGAAAACTTATTTATATATCTGTAAAATAATGAACGCATGCCACCAATGAGGCTGTTGGTTTAAGTATTTGGGTTTCGTATTTCCAAGTTTCCTCCACTGTTCACGAAGAATGTGCTCTATACGACATATCTCCTTACCTTTCCTATGAAACGCGTCCAATGTCAACACTCTCTTCGGGCTGTGCCTCAAGAAACACTATTATACAGATATTTCTATATTTCTTTCATTTCAGTTTTACGCTTAAAACCTTCGTAAAAGCACGCGTATCTGCTCACAACAAGTACATCGTGTCCCTCTACTAATGGACGTATTAGTGAATACAACTCTCTTTGCACATTATCAACACCCGTAAACGCAGTGAAATCATAAAGCATATGCTCCAGACGACCCGTTTCAAGGCGATATTTGACATGTTCATACACACCACCTCTTTTTACCTGCATAATTGTATTCCAGTCCTTTACAGTGTTTGATACACTTGGTGGCAGTCATGAAGTCTGTTGTCCACACTGTGGAGGGATCAAACTTCATCTCTGGGTATCGTTCTCGGAAGCAGCCCAGGTACCCTGGGATTACTGAATTAGAAAAACATAAACAATGAATGCGTGAATAGGTTATGCCAATGCTCGGGTTCTTTGGCGAAAGTGAAACCTTTCAATTCAAACAAGATACCCCCATTTAAAGCATACCCTTAAAGATAACTTTCAACTATTGAGAACACTATAAATAGCTGCTTTAACTGTCTGTCACGTGACAGGGTACCTTCGCAGACAGGAGCGGGTCTGTTCCACGTGGGGTCGGTCTGGTCATCTTTCTGGACACAGGTCAGTCTAGAATAGCCCAGGCGGACGGTCCCGTCATTGCAGGTCACGCTGACAGCGCCCTCTGGGAAAGTCAGGTTGTTTACGGAAGAGCTGCCGTAGACGATTCTGCCATTAGGAATGTTCAGCTTGGGACACGTGATCTCTGGAAGACGATGACGTCATGATATCAATGAAGCTGTACATTTTATATGAGACATAAGGTTTTTTAAAATGTCATGTAAGGGCGTTTTCAACATGTGTATTACGTTTGACAAAAAAGTACAACCTGGTCAAAAAAGTACAGAAATAAATGCACGAAGTATAATTGTTTTCATTTCAACTTCATCGTAAATTTCCAATGATTACACTTACTTGTCAATCCAGTGAATGACGACATGGTAACTGAAAATATGATTTTTTTTATATGATTTTTGAACGAGCAATACATCAGTTTAATATTTCAATATCCATAGATTTCATCATGCACGTATATATATACATCAATTTACATATTTCCTGGATGTACTTTAGATATTGGATATGTTTTATACAACTGCCGTTTAGAAACCAATGTACTGGACAACATTTCAATCTGAAACCTGGTATTGCTGCAGTTCTGTATGCCGGCCTGAGTTTTGGAGCATACTGTTCGTAACTCCTACTTAACACACAAATTGCCGTTCTGCACTAGAAATACCAAGCTGATAACAGAGATGAGTTCACAATAAAGTGTAATATTGTGGGTGAACAAGGGACCGACACACTGCATAGATATGATAAAAATATGCATGCTCAGTTGTCATTACCTATGCTCTTAATTTGAATTGTGAAATCCTAGTTCAAGTGTTAATATTTCACATTTACCGTCATACACAGAGACGACATTATAATCTCCCCCACAGTACTGGTCTCTGTCACCAGTGCAGGTGGCCCTGCAGTAGCGAGCACCCTTCAATGGAGCGCCGTTCACGGTGAGGTTCAGCGACTTCATCCCACAGTAACAGTAGCGGCCGACCTTCAAACCAGCCAGCTCAAAACCAGACTCTTTGCAGAAAGCGAGGCACCTAGAAGATGGCAACGAGAGAATGAATTACGTGTGTTGGGTAAACGTTTCTTATTTTATTATGTGAGACGTTGCTTTCAAGAAATTGCACACCAACATCTTACTATATATGCAAATACTGAAGGGAAAAATTGCTATTGGCAGAATTTTCCAACACTATCATGAGGTAGATTGTTATTAAAGAGTTACGTAATATTCAAAATTTCTGGAAATACTGAATTTTCTTTTCATTGAAATGTATATACATATACTTTTCTAAATCAAAATGTTTAGAGAGCAAAACACATGTGATGACTTGCTTTGTGGTGGTCATTTCGTAGTCCCTCCATCTGTTCTTGCTGCTAAAGATGTTCACCAGATTGTTGCTATAGTAACCGTCTCTAAAGCAACCCAAATATCCAGGGATAGCTGCAATGGTAAACGTTCTTCATGTTCATAGTACATAATAAGAGATTTACGAAAGCGTGGCCAAAGTAATATTGCGCAATATATCATAAAGGGGATGTGCCGAGTTTGTGGCCGTTAAGAAGAATCCAAGAGCAGGAAGCAAAAAAGGCTTCACACGTTCGTTAGAACTTGCCGGTACGCAGCACATCTTACCTGTCGTTAACAGAATACACTACTTAGTATCTTATATATATAAACCTAACCTGATACCTACCGGTGTGTGTGTGTGTGTGTGTGTGTGTGTGTGTGTGTGTGTGTCCAATAGAATTCACGTGTTCCCATGCCACATGTCATGTGTCTCCCAACAATTAATGTGTGATTATCAGAGCATTTACTAGAGTACTACTCACTAGTTATATGACCTAGTGGCCAGTGAGGTGTAAGTCAACTATACTAGGACACCTTCACTTGTGAGTTAGGAGTTGATGTGTGTGTAGGCTGGACAGATGAGCAGTAGTTTGCCAGCATGGCATAGCCTCCACTTGTGGCCACACTGACAAGTTGAGGATTGAGCCAAAACAGCATTACCCCACAGAGTTTCTACCTGGGCAGATAGTATATATAGTGACACACAAGTTGGCAACAATGTAAGTTTACATTGTATAACACAAATATACCCTTTGTCTTAAATACGTACGTTCACATTTCCCAAGTGACTGGCTCCACATAGCGTTTCCCTTGGCATCAGGAACGCACTGAGCAGATTTAGCGCCGTTCTTTACGACGGAGCCGTAGTTGCACTGAAGTCTTGCAGAGTCTCCGATCAGCGTGATGTTGTTGACCTTCTTGCTGTGGACCAAAGTGCCAGTGCCGGGATCCACTTTAGGACAATGAACCACTGAAGATGGAAGGATAATACGGTAAATACTTGATTATTTCAAACGTCACATTCAATCTAGTATTTTTCAAGATTTATCATTTTCATTTATTCAAAAATGTACTTTCTGACATGAAAACAACTCACTCAACCTTTGAGTCAATATTGTTTATGTTTTACAAACAAAGCTTTCGTTTTGAGCATCTTTTTTTGCAATTTGTGATAAGCGTCATGGAAGTATAACTGGGAGATACACTTCCATTACATGGTTGGGTCAAGCAGGGAATGTAGTCTACAACTTTAACTGTAAATAGACTTTGTAAATTGGTTGGACCTCTCCCATGTGCCCCAATTACAACAATATCATTCTATTGAAAAATATGTGGTTAATACCTACATGGGATATTTCCACTGAGAGCTGTCGCCTTGACTGAAAGAAAATATTAGAAATTTGTGTTAAACATAAGTATAATGCTTGGGATATATCATGATAAGTCATCACTAAACATATCAACTAATCAGTTAGTTCCAATGGGCGGACGTGATTTTAAGGTTGGGGGTTCTAACAGACAAACAATATTGTCTTTCGGGAAATAAGGGCAAAATTTGGTCAACAATATTTTTAAGCAAGAAACGAACCAACTGTATGTCGCCCGGAGATACTCACTGCTGTCTACGGACAAACTGTATACTCACTGCTGTATATGGACAGGACTCTGTCACCTCCACAGACCTGAGACTTGTCTCCGCTACATCTACAGTTGGTAATTAATAAATAAAATAATTTTAGATAGAAGCTTCTATCACTGAAGTCAAGTGCACTTTCAGATTTAATGTTTTCAATCGACCAAGAAACCCTGACCTGAAAACGATGATACTGCACCTCACCACGCCCTAGACGATTTCCCAAAATGCATTTCTGTACATTTCTTTTTTGTAAGTTTTCTGATTTCTTGTATGTACTTCTGTCCATCTGAATATATTTTTCTGAGTTTTATTATACCTGTTCGTGCATGACGTGGAGTTGCCGAACTGTTTATATTTGATGCCTTCTTTGTGGCAGAAACACTCGTTGTTGTCTCTCAGCATAGCAAGGTCAAGGCCGTACTTGGAGCAGAAAGATATACATCTGGGAAAAAACAGTAAGATACGTTTAAAAATTAAATGGTTAATGAAAAAAGAAGAGTTTCCATTTGACATGGCGCAATATATCAAGTGTTGAAATATTAAACTGATGCGAGTTGAAATTAATTCACTTTTTGTATGCATATTAATGGTAATTAACTTGAATTAATATATGTATTGCAATCCAAAAGTATTAGGTAGATGAAATCTCAATAACAATATGAAATTAGTATTACGCACTCTTTTCTTTCATTTTTAAATGCAAGCATTCTAGCAGATATCAGTACACAACAGGTGTTAAGGCGTCTTAAGGATTGGTGTACCTAGGTACTGTCATGTGGAGACTGTCTGACCACGTCCTTTCAGCTGCTCTGGTCATTAGGCCATAGTAGTCTCTGTAACAGCCCTCATAGCCGCTGAAATCTACAACAATAGTGAAAGAAGATTGTTTGTACTGTTGGAGGTGAGAGGCCCTATTTCAGTCTGTACTGGCAAATACACTGGGGGAATGGCGGGGGTCATTTTGGTTTACCATAACCCAAACGAAGACTGTGCAAATTGTAAACTATACAGAAATTTTATAAAATAATTCTACCAACTGCCAGCCTGACGTCTGTGGACATTGCTATATGTTACACAAAGCACCTGTTATATTCCCATAACTTAATGCCTAATTCTATCCCCGCTACCAAGTTTAAAGATAATCCGACATATACGACACGATTATGAAGCACATGTTATAAAGGATCTCTGATACAGAGCCCAATAGCAATGCCCATTGCACCTGTTATAAATGGGTTCTGTCGTAAATAATTTCTCCCCACAGTAATAAGTGACCATACCTTTACACATGTCAGTCATAGTGTCATTCCAGGAGCAGCCATCTTCACCTTGGACGTCACGCACACAGCCCAGAGTCTTCGGGTTGTCCAAGTATTTGCCGTCATCGCAGCCAAAACGTGCGATTTTTCTGGTTGGAAAGAACCACTGTCCGCCTGCTGTGGTGTTCAGGTCGGGGCAGTAGCCGAAATGATCGCCGTCATAACCTTAACAAGAGCAGGGGTTCAAACTGAGACAATATTTGCGGGTGTGTGTGTGTGTGTGTGTGTGTGTGTGTGTATTCATATATTTTAAAAATGTAAGATAATAATTTGCAATTACAGTCTCAATAAAAAGCCCAAAGTTTGAATGAAAAGATAAATATTAAAGTTTAAATTTTGATAGAAACAACATCTAGTGTATCAAGCCTGTGTATACAACTATACTCACAGTATTGCCTGGCGGCTACCTAAGGGTGGGAGGGATTGAAAAAAGAAAAAATAGAAAATATTAAAAAAAAAACAAAAACAATACGATGGTAAAATCTTTAAAAATATAATTGCAGTCATTGAATGTTTTTAGTGATGCTTGATTTTTTTTCAACATGTAACTGATAATGATTGTTTGTAACGGATATATCATACAAAGTAACACATGTTCCTCAAAATAATGCCAACTAAAATAACGAAAACCTACTTCCAAACATAATCAGCCAAATACAACATAGAAAGTCTAACTGGCACTTACGCTAGCTACGAAGCACACCGCTAACGCTATAAGCAGCTTCATGGCTCGTCTTCAGATAGTGGGATGTCTGCTATCTTCCAAACGGCTTTATATTGTCGTCGTGTAATAAGACGTGCCTGCCCCTGGGAGTGACGCATGTGTCTGGATATTACGTTTACCAAGGATGGGCACAGAGTGCCGATAATGTCACGCCGTGTTGGATACCATTGGGAATATTTGACGTGATTTTACAGTGCGCGCCCTTTGTCGTAATTCGTGGCATATTGGTGGCGGTTTGGTGAAATGCGCGAAAAGAAGCATCGCTATCCATGCAGAGGTCCGAATGGATTTCATTTACTGTGATTTTTTAGTGGATTTTACCACGTCACCCTCTTTATTTTCAACACGCATATAAATATGATAAAGGGATAATAACTCTTCGTTTTGGCCAAAAAAAAAAAATGAATTTTCCTGGAGTAAACAACAATTTTCCCATACTTACCAATGGTTAATGAATCCATTTTTACATACAAAGTTAGTTCTTGTTTTTTTTTCTTCTAAAAAGATTTTTTTGGTATAATCTCTTAAGAGATTATAACAGAGTATAGCCATCAATGGAGAGCACATGGTCTAAAGACAAGCTCAGATATCAGAATAATAGCTATAACTGCCGTTTTTCTTGTACAACAAAATATGTTATATTTCTATGAGTTGTTTACAATGATTTTATTGTGAAATATAGATCTCATACGAAGAGTTATTATCCCTTTAACAAGATTAAAAATATTTGACATCAGTGGTGCATGTAAGTGCCTGCCAAGTAGAGCTCAGGCTGTGATGTGTTTGGTACGAACACCTCTGGTCAGTGCACGTATTTTGCAAAGTTTGATGAGTAAATTGTTACACTGTGATAGGAATTATGTCAAAGCAATCATACCGTTACATAATAGCATACCAAAAGCAAAAAAGTCCGTTTAAACATAATGTACTTTTTAAATATAGTTGCACACCCCATTTATATATAGTGCACACTCCATACTTACAACATCTGAAACTAGATCTGAACGTCTTGGCAAGCAATCAGTGCGAGGTTAACATAAAACATTCATGAAAATACACGTTCAAATATATTTATTTAACTCCATGAACACGGTTCCCAATTCAGTTCAAATTAACATAAACTCAAAATATCCACTTTTATAAAACCTGCAAGTAAATTTCACAGTGCTGATAACTACTCAATTATAGTGTATGGAGCTGGAATCTCGTCCCCGTCATTGGACACTGCATCTCCGGAGCCGGGCACCGCTGTGGTGGTGGGTGGGGCCATTGTGGTCGTTGGCATGGCTGTTGTTGGCATTGGGGTGGTAGTTGGCATGGTTGGTGTTGGCATTGTTGTTGTCGGCATTGTGGTAGTTGGCATGGTTGTTGTTGTGGGCATTGGGGTGGTAGTTGGCATGGTTGTTGTTAGAGGGGTTGGTGTAGTTGTTGGAGTGGTAGTCGTTGTAGTTGGCTTAGTTTTCTTGGTCGTGGTTGCTTTGGTGGTAGAGATGGGTTTGGGTTTTGCAGTGGTCATCTTTGGGTTGATATGATCATTCACTGGAACGAAACGCAATTTAAACTGGTTGGATTTACGACAAACGTGATTTGTGATGAACAAATCGAATAAGTAAACAGGTTAAAACTACATGACAATTTTTCTGTATGTACAAGTGGAGACATTTTACTTTCTCTCCATCAATTTTCCGTATCACGTGTAGAGCAATGCAACAATGGGTGTTATAAAATAACCTTATATTATCCAGATGTGTACACCATCAGTGCATTTAGAACAGTGGACTAACAGATCCGCAGATCAAATATGGCGATCCACTTAAAAGACTGCCGCTTAATTTAGGATTAGACACTGAATAGATTTTCTGCGTTAATTACGCAACAACCATTCAAGTAGGTAGGTCGGCCATATTTGATCCGTGGACCTGTAAGTCCGCCGTTCTGAATGTGCCCTATGTCCCCACCTTTATAGACGGAGAGCGCCCTGTAGTCTCCACATATCTGTTTGTTGTCACCAGGACACAGGTAGCTACATGTAGTGGAGGAACCAGCACCATACAGGATGTCTTCATTGCCACAGTGACATTTGTTACCGTTCTCAAGAGCTGGGAGAGAAATGCGCAGAAATAATGTTATGTCGGTTTTTGCAGCCACAGGTTTTTTAAAAGATATCTAGATGTTGTAATGACAGAAGTGAAATAGTAAACATTTCATCAAATTTTATCAAACAACTTTTTAAAATTTTAAAGTCGAATTTCACATTTCTTCTAAACATTTTGTACAAACTAGTTTAATAACATAAACAGACTGATCTAATCTTATGGCCATTTTTAGCCGCTCAGAGAAAACTTTAATTCCAAAAAATGCTGATCAATAAAAAAAGTCGCTTCCGCACCTTAATATGGAACATTTCTGCATATTTAATGATGTGTTTCTTCTACGGTCAGTGACATATGCATATGTTGTTAAAAATCAAGTACAGACAAGCCCCCTCACTATGAAAGGTACGTATGGAAAGCAATAATACAAGAACGTAAGGCAAACTATGCTTTACCTGCGTACATGTATCTGATACCGTGACAGTGCATAATACACATGGTGGCTGACATAAACGGGGTGTTCCAGACTGTACGGGGGTCAAACTTCTTCTCTGGGTAACGGTCCTTAAAACACCCCACATAGCCATGGAGAGCTAGAGCAAGAGGAACAGGTGCCATGTATGCGAGGGACTGGGGTAAACCGAATTTACTGTAGTACTCATATCACTTCCAAATTAAATTGAGCGTTTTTCTCTATATGTATTCAATATAACTAAATGAAACAAAATACTGTACGAAAATAAGAAGAGAAAAGAATATGAAAATTGATTAATTCATTTTTGCACTTTGTAAAGATAATATCCTTTCATTACCTATAAGATGAAAAATGCAGTCAGTTTTAGATCCGTTTAAATGATCATTATCAACAGTTCTTCACGAACGTAAATTTGTTTTAATATCTTAGTTCCTGAATTAGATACGCACAAAAAGTGCATTTTTTAAAACTGTAACTTACGTTTACAGAGAGGTGGGGTATTGTCCCAAGCTGGTTTAGGCTGCAAGTTAGTTGTCACACAGTTCAGCTTGGTGACACCGTCCCTGAGCGTTCCATCATTACACTGCACCTTGACAGAGCCGCGGGGGAAGGTGACGCCATTCACGGATCCTTCATAAGTCAACTTGGCGTTGCGAATGTTTAACTTTGGACAACTGATCACTGAATTCAGTATATGAAATATAAATTAGATTATTGCTAAAATAATTCTGATAAAAATGTTTTTAAAGCCAGATAAAGAGCCTGTTTACTATTTCTGTGGTGCTATCTTTAAAGAAAAAGTACCATTTATCACAACTTTTCCAAGTACACGGTTATTCAATGTAAAGTTAGAAGGAATCTAAAGAGATCTTTTCGGTAAAAAAGAGGTTACCTGGAAGTCCACCAAAAACTGCAGCTGAAACTATAAAAAGAAATACATTAGAACTGAGAAGCCTTTGCTCTTAACGTCAAAATCTGCTGGTTCCAGCAGTAAAAACATCATTATCTTTAGCCATCACTGCAAAGAATATGATTTGAAGAAACTTAAAGTAAGTATAATGAATTATAATATGTAGCAAACTCTGCTGGATAAGTTAAAAAAACCTTTATCAATTTAAATGTGTATACAATATCATTGAGATACATGCGATTTAGAGCATCCTAGTACTATATATTAGTACGGATAGGGGCCTAAGTGTAGTATAATAATTATATTAGATATTTAGTACAGTAAGTAGCAAACCATACTAGTTCCACTCACCATCATACACCGACACTGCATATCTGTCTCCTCCACAGTACTGAGAGCTGTCCCCGGCACATCGGTACTTACACGAGTTTTGGGGGTTCAGAGCGGCGCCATTTTGTGTCAGGTTGACCTTTTTGTCGCCACAAAAGCAGTATTTGCCACTGCGCAACGCGGCCAACTCAAACCCCAATTGCTGACAGTAAACCATGCACCTGAAAATGTTTCGAAATTTTCCTTCATTAAAAGTGCAAATTTGATAATGGCAGTAGTCGAAATAGGCGGCATATAAATAGTGATGCTCTTTTATTGTTTTTTTTAGAATGGATCTGTAAATTGAGGAACTAGAAACCGACCGGGATACCTACATATGTATTGTTAATCGTGCCAATCAATCTAATCATGATCGATACTACATGTATCATAACCACAAATTTCAATGTGTCTTCTCAATTTCGCCAAGTAAATACTATGAATTATTTTAACATGTTCACCTTACCTCGGGGACCCCTCTAGCCTCCAGATACAATTATTCTGATTTATTTTACAAAGACACACAAGCAAAATGCTGGAGAAAACAGTCAATAATTTTCATTAACATCGACATACCTACCTCTGAGGTGTCATCTTGTTGTCAGTCCACAGGTAACTGGAACTGAACAGTGGACGGCCATACCTCTCACGGTAGCAGCCCAAATAGCCCAGAATTGCTAAGTGTAAGAGAGAAAAATATAAACCTGTCACATAAAACTATATGCATATATTAATTTTTTATTAATTATTATTTGATACCTTCAAATATTACAAGAAGAACTTTGGTCCGAATTTTAAAAACTACCGATAATTGGAAAATGACTTGTTGTTTGTTAAGATTCAAACCAGAAGAAACGTTATTTTTACCAACCTTGTTGGCCTATAAATTACTAGAAACTTCAAAAGAAATAAGTTATCAATATATATTTTATCATATTATTATTATTATTTGCAATCAAGACAAGAGCACATAGTAAGCCTGTGCATTGGCAAATTTGCTCCAGTGACATCTATATCTTACGTTCGCACTTCCCGGGGGTGGCACTCCACTTAGCGTGGCCCTTCTCATCAGCCATACACTTCACAGTGGCCGCCCCTCCCTTGATGGTGGAGCTGTAGTCGCAGTCAATACGGGCTGAGTCCCCGACTAGGGTGA